GTTTCTTTGGTAGTTTAACATACGGTCGCCCCTCCAACAAGAAAAGGTATAAATATGAAAACTTCTCTGCCATTTGGATCGGAGAATTTATGGAGCAAATACAGTCTTTGTACCGCCAAAGTATGTTTCCACACTCCTGTTAGGCCTCTTTGTGTTAAACTTAAAATCGTCAGCGTCACTAACACAATTGAGACCAGTAACTACCGTAAACTCCCTGAGTAAAAAGCACAATATTGTACTATTTATATGTATTAAAAATGAGTCAATAGAACTTTCTTCCAGCTCCAGAACCATGAAGCACCTGAACAACTGATGTTGACCCTCACAGTGCTTCATACCGAGGAATCCTCCAAAACAGGTAGTACAAAATAGTTTGTACTGCTCTGGACTAAGCTTTTCTTTGAGGTCTGCGATTATGTCGGTGTTGGTGTAGGAACTGATATGCGGCGATAAAATAGGCGGGTGTTTAACAAAGAATTTTATTTTCTGCATACAAACACAACAAAAAAGATAAATATATGCTTGAAAATACAGATGAATACGGTTAGGTTGATACATTACCTTAATTATTTTAAATGTAGGTTGTTTATGGGTTCAAAACATTATAAATATATGTATATATGAAAAATATTATTTTCGTTGCATACAAAATACGGTACATACAAAACAGTGAATACATGAATACATAAATCATTCATGAATACACCAAAATACACTAATAATTATAAAAAAATAACTGTGAGTTATGACAATAATGATAAAACTGTTGGTGTATTTAAAATTGTTATTTTATGAACTCATATATATATATATACNAATACATATAAATGCATCGACAATTAACTTGTCCTTCAGTGTTTCCGAGCTAGTTCCTTTAGCGAACTCTTTTCTCTTGCTCCCAGAAGCAATATCGATAAGTTTTCTTCTCTTTTTCACATCAGAAAGTGTTGATTTTTTTGAAGATTTCTCATCTTGACCTTGTTTCATAGGGTCGTTGCGTATTTGTTTTCGCCTTTCGGCTTCAATGGTTGGTGATGAACCTGCAAATACAGGTTCCTCTTGAGTGATTTGCAAATCGAAAGATGGCCCATCAAAATTGAGTGCTTTAGGGGGTATACCTCGTGTAACCCTCGTCGGAGTTGTTGAATCAGCCATTGAAGAGAAAATTTGAAGTTTTCTGCCGAAAACCTAACAATGGTGAAGATTAAAAAAAAAGTGAAGAGAAAAAGAAGAAGCTTGAACCGGGCAAAAACCCAAAAACTTTAACACTTACCACGAATTTTTGGAGCAAAAACGTTGAAAGTGAGAGAGAGAAAATTATTGTGAAAGAATCGTGCTTCAAGAATCAGCACAAAATCTTGCAGTGAGAGAGAGAGATCGCGGAGAGAGAAAGAAGAAATATTTTGCTGTGATTTTGGGAGAGAATAACTGAAAGAATGAGAGAGAAAACGGTACATAGCGTATTTAATGCCTTAACAGTAGTGTATACCATAAATACCTATTTTGCTATTAAAAAATAAAAGGTAGTTATAGAAAATAATATTTTAAAAGAGTTTTGATTTATAATAAATAGGGTAAAAACGAGGTAAAATTTCCAAACTTTTAATTAGTTTGTGTAAAATAAATTCATTTTTGTGATTTGAGATCTGATTTCGGGTCCATACCCAAGTGACGTGTAATACAACCACTCCAAAATGGGTCCTAGCTATTTAAAAGAGCTTAAATCCTTTCACAATGAAATTAAATTATTATCAGCTGATACATCAATTGTTATCAGGTCCCCGAGCTTGAAACAGACGAACCAACAAAAAAAATTAAAGGAATGATTAAATCAATTAGCTTAGAGTGATATGACAATTTGGACTAATTCAATATAAATTTATAGTACAAATTAAATGTGAAATATACTATATATCTCTAGTTTGTCCTTGACAAATTATAATATATGCATGCATAAGCCTCTAAAGCATGGACCACTTGGGAAGCTAAAGGATATTATAATTTAATTTATATTTTGGTAATGTTGCTTCGTCGTATTTAAAGAATATTCCATTTCGAAAATTCCAAGTCTTGAAAACACGTACCGCCAAATTGTCACAAGACGTTGTCCATGCAAATAACAAAGAAAAAGGGAAATAAAAGATAAAACCCAAAAAAAAAAGTGTTTCAAGGGGGTATTATGATTTCACTTTTGTTGTGAAGCTGTAGTACAATGAAAATAAATTAACATGCATACTTAATCCCAAATTTAATTGTCCACCCTAGTTAATTTCTCTTTAAATCATCTTAAGATAAAGTTCATGCATTTTACTAAAGAAGAAAAAATTTCAAACCTAATATATTGCACAGCATGTGTTACAGGAGATTCGGTTTTATTCTTCTCCATACAAAATTTTATCTATTCTGTTTTCGCAGAACAAAAGAGGTTAATCCAAAATAATACTCTATTAGCTGAATATTCACTTTTCCAGATATATCTTTATTAAACGTATGAGTAGGGTGGGCATAGTTTGGGCAAACCCGAAATCCAAACCCAAACAGAATTTTCTGAATTTTTTGTTTGGATTTTCTGATTACGGATTGGATTTCGAATTTAATTTTTAAATTTTTTGGATTTCTGATTGGACGTTGGATTTGGTACTTCAGAATTGTGGATATCCGAAAATTCAAAATTTTTATATCTTATATTTAGTCCATTATCCATATGCCAATAGTAATATGTCCAATACGCTACCCATTAGATATTATCACATATATTCAATACTAGTTACTAAGTTAATGTGAGAATACTTTCTATTTGGATATAGTTTTACTATTGCTACTTCTAATCGGCCTTATTAATATCTTTATTATATTTTCTTGATAATGAATTTATTATTTGAATATTTTATTTGCATGATTGTAGTGAGAATGAGTAACTTTTTAGGTAATTTAACATGAATACTTTATTTGGATGTTTATTTTTATAAGAATAAGAAACGTCCAAAACTTATAGGCTCAAAACCGAAAATTCGAAATATTCAAACCGATTAATTCAAAACCGAACTTAAAAAATTCGATCCAATCCGAGCTTATTTGGATTGAATTTGGATTGTTATTTATTTAATCCGAAAATCGAATATCCAAACCGAAATTTTCATATTCAATCTGAACTACCCGAACGCCCACCCCTACATATGAGGTTACACAAATTATTTAATTTGGATGGCCAAGGGTTGAGATGGATAGGATCGATCCCCCCATTCTTAATTAGAGGTCTCGGGTTCAAGTTCTTGAAATGAAAAAAGTGAAAATTACGTGACACATCAAATATTTACATTGTATTTACCGTTCTTGGCTATACTTTAAGCAAATTTACCATTCATAGCTATATTTGAATTTTATAGCAAATCCATGAAACAAATGATTTATTGTTTTGAACTGAAACAAGAGAGCAATAAGCTCTCGTAGCTTAGTTGGTTAGAGCGCTGGCTTAGTTAGCGGAGGTCCTGAGTTCGACTATCAACAAGAACCTTTTATTTTTCTGTAGTTTTGTATTTCACCTTAGTTGTATTCATTTGCGCGAACGAATACAGTCGATACAAGTTGTATCCTTTGTATACACTCTTATATTTCGCCTTGGTTAAAGTTGATACATGTCGTATTCGTCGCACGAATAAATATAATTACGTCCCGAATACAGTTAATACAGGTTGTATTCTTTGCGCGAACGAATACAGTTGACACAAGTTGTATTCGTTGTGCATTTGAATACAAGTGATACAAGTTAGTAACAATTAAATAGTAGATACGAATGGTAATTAAGCAAACTATAGTTATTAGGTTCTAAACTATAGTGATTTATGAAAATTCCTCATGAAAGAATTCATGTATGAAGTTTTCCCGTATAATGGCCCTTATGCAGAGGCGGAGCTAGAAGCCCATATGTGAGTTCAGCCGAACTCAATAATATTTGCTCAAATAATGTAATTTTGTTAAAAATTTTATTATGTATGTACAAATATTAAATTTAGAACACAATTGTTAACACTTAAAATCATCGTTTTAACATTTAGGATGTATAGAATTAAAATTCTAGCTCTGCCTCTGACCAATAGCGTAGCCACCCCAAGGGTGGTCAAGCGCACACCCTTCGCCGAAAATTTATAATGTATATATAAGTTAAATACTACTTTTTATGTTATATATTATTGTTTGAACACCCTTAACACAATTGAATGAGGCAGTCCAGCGACACAGGGTGTTCAAAATGATGTGTTGTTCACAGGTTCAAAGTTTTGCCCATTTTGTTTGTCAAAATTAAATGGAGACCACCATGTGTGGTCTATTTGATTCTCTTGCAATCCAAAGAATTTTCTAATAAAATAACTCTTAAAATTTAAAATTTGTGTAGAAACTAACAACTAATAAGTAATTTTTTAACTAAAAATTATTTCTTAAAAATATTTTATAATTTAAAAGTCAAGCTCTACAAAAATTTTGGTACACCATTCATTGACAAAAAAAATATTATTGACTTGTTTAAAGTTTGAACACCCTTGGCGGAATTCATGGCTACGCCATTACCTCTAATTTTATGTGGAGGAAAATTAGATTAATTGGGGTCCTATACAGATACCAAGCACTAGGTGAGAAACCAAAAATTAAGAATATTCATTTTGTAACCAATACTTTAAGGGCTCATTTGGTACAAGGGATAAGAGATAATTAATCGCGAGATTAAATTTGATATGAGTTATTTCACATTTGATTTGGATAAAATCGCGGTATAACTAATCCCGAGATCAATTATCTCGAAATTATTTTGTTATTTTTATCCCTATGAAAGGGTAGGATAATAATCTCTGAATAACTAATCTCGAAAAAATTAATTCTAAGATAACTTATTTCCTAACCAAAATGACCCTAAAAGACAAAGTAGAGACTAGGACATCGGGGCTAAAACTTCATGAAATGACTTCACTCTTTTGTGTATATATGCGTGCTGTGGTTATAATTGTTGTTGACTCAGAAAGAGAAAGAAGCCTTAGTACAATTTCTATCCATTTTCACTTAGACAATTAAAACTTGCGACTTTACCAAGGCAAAAAAAAAATCATGGCTTCCCAAGTAGAACCAAAGCTTCCCATTATTGAGTTCACAGATGAAAACTTGAGCAGTGGCACAAGCTGTTGGATATCAACTTCCCAAGAAATCCGCCGTGCATTGGAAGAGTACGGCTGCTTTGCGGCAGTGTACAAGAAAGTGTCACCGGAGCTCCGGGAAGCCATGTTCAATCACTGTAAGGAGTTGTTCCAACTTCCTTTAGAAGTTAAACTCCAAAGTACTTCTGATGTTTTGGGGTTTGGATATGGTGGGAATTTCCCTAACATGCCTCTTGCTGAATACTTTGGCATCGAAAATGGTGGAACTCTTAATTCAACCAATAATTTTGCCAAACAGATGTGGCCCAATGCCAACGTTGATAAATTTTGGTAATTATGTAGCCGGCCTTTTTACTTTTTCCAACCATATTCATTGATTATACAAAATTATACACTATAATACATAAATTATGCATATATTATACCTACACTGATTATTTTTAGTTTAAGCGGTTGAGTGAACGGTTATTTGGGTTAATTCTTCAATTATTTACTACCTCCGTTTTACTTTATACTACTAATTTATATGGCGAGTGGTATTTGACCGGAGTTAAGAAAGAAAAAAAAGCATTTTGGAATTTGGGGCATATAAAAAATATCCTTAGAGCTGATTTTGTTTAAGAATATGTTATTATGAATAGAGTTTAAGTTAGATACAATCAGGGGTCGAGCTAAAATATTATGTATTGCGAACTAAATAACTAAGACCAATCATGGATTTGAAAGAAAATTTAAAACCTACAAAATTTATTTTTACAATGGTGTAATTATAACTAATTGGTATCGACTTTGGTAACCTACAGGATGGAGTAAGCTCTTTTAGTAAATTCTTTTAATTTTCTTATAGTAAATAATTAATTACTACATTAGTAATTTTTTTGTTGGTTATGTTGTCTTTTGCTTTTGCAGTGAAGAAACGCTTTCATATTCTAAATTGATTGCTGAACTGGACGATGCGGTGATTCGAATGATGTTGGAAAGCTACAGCTTAGAGAAATATTACGAGCCTCTAAAAAATTCGTGTATGTATTTAATGAGATTCATTAAATATCGAAGCCCGAAAATGAATGAAATAAATATAGGTCATCTACCTCATAGAGATAAGTCATTTATGGGGATCATTGACACTAATCAAGTAGGAGGTTTGGAGATGCAAACAAGAGATGGAAATTGGATTACTTTCAATCCCTCCTCTTATAAGACTGTCGTATTCATAGCTGGTGAGCCTTTCACGGTAAGAAATTTACTTTACTTATGTCCAGGGTATGTTTGGTTTGGTATAACAAAAGTCATTTTTAAAATTTTAAAAAAAATAAAAAAATGTTTTTCACGTGAGTTAGGAGAACTGAGAATTCATATTATCCGACGCCAATTTGTTTGTGACTCAGTCTTAGTTGTTTAAGAGAAAATCATTTTTTGGTATGACTTAAGTCATTTTTCAAGAAAAATATTTTCCATCAAAAGTTAAAGGGGAAAAATGACTTCTCTACACGTGTGAGCAAAGTCATTTTGATTGAAACTATATTATTTGCTCAAACAGACGTAGGCATTATTCATGATTTTTGTCGCTCAAAATTTTCATCAAAACACTCTTATTTGTTTACATTAATTATTAATCTTGTCATTCGGTAGGGTGTATAAGAATAGTACTGAATATGGTGTATTAGTAATGTTGAGATTAGTAATGCTAGAATTAATTACGCTGGAATAACTTTTTATTGACTGTTTGATTTGGTGTATTAAAGGTTTTGAAATGGCAGTTCTGTGTTTACACATGCTTATCCATGTATTAAAAATTATAGTATTGCTAATGGCGATGGTTTGCTATGTATAAGAATAGTACTTAATAGAGTGTATACATAATACAAGTATTAGTTATACATAAGTTGCAAAATACCAAATAAGGAATTAATAATACTAAAGTTAATACATGTATCATTTTCCCTAATACACCCTACCAAACGACCCCTTAATGTATATACAGTAATATTTCAAAAAAATAGGTCCGTTAAGCTAAAATGGATTAAACATAGCCATCTTCTGAGTTATAAAATGTACTGATGACAGGCATGGAGTAATGGAAGGGTGTATGCTCCGATACATCGAGTGATTATGAAAGGAAGTGAAGATAAATATTCGCTTGCATTATTCTCATTTATGCGAGGGACAGTGAAAATACCAGAGGAGCTAATTGATGAAGAGAACCCACAACATTTCAAGTCATTTGATCACTTTGAATATCTGAAATACTGTGCAACAGATGGCTGGAAAGAGAAAAATCCCATCAAATCCTATTGTGGTGTTTGAACTTTAATTTAAACATGCATGCTTGAATAAAAAGGACAGTTCGGTGCACAAAGCACCTGTATTTACCCCGGTTCTGGAGAAGACTACGACCTAAGGGGTTGTGATATAGACAACATACTCTAATACAACCATTGGTGCTTAAATATTTATGATATTTCATTTTAACTTTTTCTTGTAATTTCACGTTGTTTGCTGTCTTTTATTTTCAGCTGTGTTAAACTATGTAATAATGTTAATGGGCTGGGTAGTAAAACTATAATTACTACTCTATCATGTACCAGTATCAAATACGGGAGTAAAATAATATTTTTGTGATTTGTTCGTTATTGTCCTTTTCTTTTCAGCTTTGTTTAGATATACATTTTAAATATATCGAATAACACTTTTTGAAGAGTACAATATCATACCCTTGAATAATGGTATATATATTATATTCCTAGCAAAGCAAAAGGCAACTCTGAACTAACATGAAGCAACAAAATTGCTTATTGAATAACTAGTTTCGGAGTGGCTCACTAGGCTGTTTAAGGTCATTTTTTAGGACGAAGTAGATGTCCAATGAATGGAGGTGGAGTACGATGATTTCGCTGTATAAAAACAAGGGTGATATTCAAAGTTGCAATAATTATAGGGGGATTAAGTTGCTTAGCCATATGATGAAAGTTTGGGAGAGGGTGGTTGAAGTGAGGGTGAGGAACAGTGTGTCCATTTTTGAGAATCAGTTCGGTTTCATGCCGGGGCATTCGATTATGAAAGTCATTCACCTTGTGAGGAGATTGGTGGAGCAGTATAGAGAGATGAAGAAGGACCTGCACATGGTGTTCATTGACCTAGAGAAAGCATATGACAAAGTCCCGCGAGAGGTGCTCTGGTGATGCTCGGAGGCTAAAAAGGTCCTAGTAGCCTACATTAGGGTGATTAAGGACATGTATGATGGAGCTAAGACTCGGGTTAGGACAACGGGAGGAGACTCGAAACACTTTCCGGTTGTGATGGGGTTGCATCAGGGATCATCTCTTAGTCCATTTCTATTTTCCTTAGCGATGGACGCTTTGACGAGATACATTCAAGGTGAGGTGCCATGGTATATATTATTTGCTGATGATATAGTCTTAATTGATGAGACGCGGGGTGGTGTTAATGAGAGGCTGGAGGTTTGGAGGCAGTCCCTAGAGTCTTAAGAGTTTCAAGTTGAGCAGGATCAAGACAGAATACTTGGAGTACAAGTTCAACAACGGTACCCAGGAAGAGGATATGGAGGTGAGGCTTGATACGCTAGTCATCCCCAAGAGAGGTACTTTCAAGTACCTTGGATCTATAATACAAGGTAACAGGGAGATTGATGAAGATGTCACGCATCGTATCAGAGCAGGATGGATGAAGTGAAGGCTCGCTTCCGGTGTCTTGTGTGATAAGAATGTGCCGCTGAAACTTAAAGGTAAGTTTTACAAGGTTGTAGTTAGACTGACTATATTGTATGGAGTAAGGTGTTGGCCTGTCAAGAACTCTCATACCTAGAAGCTAAAAGTAGCTGAGATGGGGATGTTAATGTGGATGTGTTGGCATACCCGGTTGGATAAGATTAGAAATGAAGTTATTCAGAAAAAGATGGTTCGGGCATGTTAAGAGGATAAGTATAGAAGCCCCAGTTAGAAGGTGCGAGAAGCTAGCCTCGGTGGGTAGCAGGAGGGGTAGAGGTAAGCCTAAGAAATCTTGAGGAGAGGTTACTAGGCGGGACATGGCGTAGCTGAAGCTGACTAAGGATATGGCCCTAGATAGAAGGGTGTGGAGGTCAAAGATTAGGGTAGAAGGTTCGTAGGAAGTCAAGCGTTTCTCTTTGTCTTACTCAGTTCGCTAGCATTAATGTTAGTAGGATATCTTTTTATTCATATATTATTATTATTACCTAGAGTTTAATTGTATTCTTGGATTCGATCTTATTTTATCATGCCGTTATTCCTACTTGTTGCAATTATCTTTTCTTTTTCAGTCGTTCTCTAGCCGGGGGTCTATCGGAAACAACTTCTCTGTCTTTCCAGGGGTAGGAATAAAGCTACGTACATCTTACTCTCTTCAGACCCCACTTGTGAGAAACTACTTGCTTTGTTGTTATTGTTATTGCTATATAGGTCGTGAGCAAAAAGTACCCTTGGCAAAATTTTGCTCAATTTCAGGTAGTTTGTGCTTTAGTACGAATATGTCTGCCTAGGTACTGTGCATGCTTCAGATGACCCGTGTATTTTCGCGCAAAAGCACCAAGCCGCCAATACCTCTACCTCTAACGCGCCTCTCCTTGATCCAACTCTTGTTCCAATTGCACTATTTTATCTAATCAACTTACTAACATCGAAAAATTAATAATTAGCACTAGTTGGGCAAATTCACCTTGTCAATTAGTATAAAGAGCAGTAAAAATTATAGGATATACGACATCAAATCAGTGTTTTAAAAGGCGTGGACGTAAGCCCCGAGGCGCAGGGCGTAAGCCCCATAGGTATTTAATTTTTAATATTTTATAAACTAATATAATGACAGTTAATATTTAAAAACATGTAAAATTGCATAAAAATTGAAGAAAATTATATATATGTGTACTCCATCCCCACAAAAAACTAATCAGAATAATATATTATACGTTACTTACAAGCACAAATAATTTGAGTCTAAAAGAATAAAGTTTTCTATATAAAGGAACAAAAATGATGATTAACCTGCAATTTGAACTTTGAATTTGCTGCTATGAAGAAAAATGTAGTTTTCTTTGTATTTGTAAAAAATATTAAATATTCGTTACTTTTGGGAGATATTCGTAGACTAGCGGACAAGATAAAATTTTGGGAAAACCATGAATTAAGGCTTAAATCAATAAAAAAGATCTTTATTTTTAAATTTAATACTTTTGAATTCTTTTTTAAACCTTTTGAGTAATTACCAAAATGACTTTTGAGAATTTGGGTATTATATGAAGGACTAATTCAACAAATTTTATTTTAATTTGAAAAAGTTTCTGGGGCTTACTCCTTACTAAAAATATACGCCCCGAACGCCCGGGCGTACGCCTCTTGAGAATTTCGCCTCACACCATTGCCCCAAGGCGTTTTTGGTACGCCTCGCCCCGGGGCTCGCCCCAGAAACGCCTTTTAAAACAGAGCATCAAACTAAAGCAAAAATATCCCCAGAATCACTATGCCATGGCAACGTAGGGCCGGGCCGACATGCCAGGCAGGGGCGGATCTACAGTTATAGGTATGGTTCCCGGGAACTCAGTAGTTTTTGCATAGATTCTGTATTTGTATTAAGAAATCTATTAAATATATAAGAATATTTATATGTGAACCCAATTATAAAATGTTTGGGTGGTTCAATGGTAAGGTATGGAACCCAAATTGATTTTTCCGTAAACCACAATGCAAGATCGAATCCCATGAGCGTACTGTACTTTTCCGTGTGAGTTGCACAGCTTTTTAGTCTTTAACTTTACTTTTCCTTGTGATTTTTGGGTACAAAGTCTTATACACCTTTCCTTGTGAGTTACAGCTAGCCTTTAACTTTACTCTATTTTTTTAATTAAAATAATAATAACAAATACCGACTCAAACTAAAAAGGACACAAGTCAACAACGATTGAAAAAGATTTCTCAAACTTCTTTCACCCAAATTCCAATTCAAACTTTCAAAGAAAAGTTAGGGTTTTAAAATTTTGCGTCCCTTCTTCAATGCGCTGGTTTTAACCTTTAGGCTGCGACTCAAAGTTAAAAATTTTGTACTCGTTTTAACTTTTTCACTTACTGTCACTCCATTGCAACAAGTATTTCGATCTCCCTCCTCCTCCTCCTTTTTTAATTGGTTTCCTCTTATACAACATTTAATTTGTTTTTTACGATTAGTAGGATATTTTAGTAAGAGTCAAGATGATCAAGCGATTCTTCATGCCGCAAACCTCTTCACGTTCTACTTCTAGTTCTCCTTCACTAAGCTCTCCTTCATGTCCAGTGGTTAATAATAATGTCAATTCTTCCCAATTGTCAAACAAAGATAATATGTTCTTGAACCTGATCCTGGTAAAAGAAAACAAATCTCAGAATATCCTCCTAATCTATGTGACCCAGTGAGAAGACATTACAATGAAAAAGGGCCTTGTGAGCTTCGAGAGTGTATTTTTCCAAAGACAAATTTTGTTATTTTGTAAATATATGTTGAATATTGATACTTGTTCCTTAGTTCGGTTATTATGATATATTGACTTGAAGTTATGGTAGGAACTCATACACTTCAATTCCTATATCCACCTCTATGCTAGGTCAGCAGAGGTTACCTTATATGTACAATTTACAAAAAAGAAGCGTCGGCCTTTTAACTTTGAACTTTTTGTAGTACTAATTTTAGTATACGTGCATTGTATGTGTCTATAGTGTCTATCAATTAAAAATATATACATCGACGTTAACTAAAATACAATATTTGTTTAAATAATAAAAATATTTTTTCTCATAGTAATTGTATTAAATATCTTCTGAATATGCATAGATGATGAATTTAGTTAAATTATTTATAAATTATTTTGTAATTATACATATCTTATAATATGATTTACAAATATGTTAAATTGTACCTCACCTGACATCTCTTTATGAATACATTTTGGCTTCTACTATTTCATCCTTATTTCTTATTGTTTGCATTTAACCAATTTAATTCTTAATACTATAATTGAATTTTGTTTTATATTCTGAATTCTTTTATTGACAGTGGTCTTTTTCTGTAAAATAATTTATGTACTCTAAGATTTGTGTAAACTTAAAAAATAATTTTACCTATATGATGAATTTGGAAAGGAATAAAATTGGATTATTTTTCTAGTTAGTTATAAATTCAAATCCGGAAAAAGGTCAATTCAAATACTTAATTATCCTTTTTAATCACTAATAGAAATGATTTATGTTTTGAAGATCTAAATTGTTAATATTAGCTCATAGAATAAAATAAATATTTAATTATAATTATATTTTTATCCACAAAATTTAACTTTATTCAAATGATAAAAAATTGAACTTTTGCACTTTATGTTTGTCGTAGCATTAGTAAATGACTTTTGTCAATCACTTTTATCTCTCTTTCTCTTGCTATTATTAAATATTTTTGTAATTATTTTTTCTAATAATGTTTTAAAATCTACATTAAAATTTATATCTAAGCAAATTATAGATCGAAGAATAAAATTAATAGCGAATGAACCAATCTCACAAAGAATACTCATAGCATTTATAGGTTAATACTAATTTGATTAAAGGACAAAGCAAACTACTTCCTCTTTCTTTAATTTTTTCTTTATTTTATTTGTTTATGTCATAATTGTTCACCTAAAATTTAGCATCATTATACAATTGTTTTGAGCTAAAAAACGTTCAATTGTATAAAATTCATATATAAAGTAAAACATATAAATATTTGGTGTTATTAATTATACTTTAATTTTAAATTCATATAAGATAAAACTTTAATAATTTGAAAGTCCTAAATATAAGGATCTCTTACTTAATTCAAATAAGGAAAGGTATAATAAGTAATAAATCTTATTTAATTTTAAACTCCTAAATATTAGCTAGAAGAATAATCAAATGACTATTTTGTCTAGCGTGAACTCTATTTTAAAAGGGTAAAAATGACGAACGACATTTCGCTAAAGGCCTTCGTGATTTTAATAAAGTATAGATATAGATTAATTAGAGTACTATTTTGCACTCTTAATATATATTCTATATGTTCTGTTTTTTCTACTATTCTTTTATTTTTCACAATCTGCCCCCTAACCTTATCATTTTAAAATTACAAAATAGTTCATTCTGTGGGGGATAAAATAGGAACTATATAATATTTTTAAGTTTTATGCATTGATGGTGTAAAAATTATTTACACAATCAGGTCGTTTAAAAAAGCAATTATAGATAATTCTATTTAATAACATGGATTAGTAGCCTAGAATAAATAATAACATATTCTACAACAAGTTAATTAAGTTACACTAGTGTAAACAAGTTATTATATTGTCATTTTATATAACTTAAGATCTTCAGAAAGGGAAAAAAAAAAAAGAAAAGAGAATAGAAGGGAGGAAGATGAGTCGGAAACGAAATTCGTCATGCACCAATCTTGGTACTCTTTATTTCAAGCTAGATGCAGATTATATGGTTCAAGCATTGATAACTTTATCATGTGTTGTATAGTCGATAATGGATTATATGGTTCTATTACAGAATAAAGATTTTGCAATTTCGTAGACTATATGTTAAGAGCACTATTGCAAAGATATCTGGTAAGTTTATGGGAAATGATTTTCTTCTTTGGAATGCAATTATATGCAGATTATATGTTTCAAGCTCATTTTAACTCGATTGTTTTAGAACAGAGGCTGTTCCTTGAGCCGAGGGTCTATCGGAAACAGTTTCTCTACCTCCACAAGGTAGGGGTAAAGTTTGCGTACACACTACTCTCCCCAGACCTCACATGTGAGATTACACTGGGTTTATTGTTGGTGATTCCTGCCACTAATTCAACATGTACAAAGGGTAAGAGAGTCGGCTTTTGAAATCCAAGTGCAATAATAACCACAAAATATGTGAGCACTCCAGCACTACGGACGGCTCTTTAACATCGCCCTCTCTTGCTTGAGGCAGATTTTAAGAAAATGTGATTGGAAAGAGATGGAAGTTAAAACACTTTCTGCGCTATTCCCGCTTTTATATATGGTATGTGTTTATACATTCACAAGGGCACGTAAGAATTTGGAAGGTATAAATTTATGCCTCAAAAGAATAATAACGCTATGAGGAGACTAAAGCTAATAGCCGAAGCTGGAAAGAAATGTCTTTCTACAATATGCCGACAAAACTCATTGCTACAAAATCACACACCACTGGCAGAACAGACATCCGGTCCCTTGAACCGTCCCTTTAAGGCAGCAGAATCTGGAATGAAAACAAGAAAACCATCATTTTCCTGTTATGAGCAAAAACAAAAGATCTCAAGCCGAAAAATACTTAGATTTTCTTTCAATCTTTGATGACGATCAAAGAAATTGACACAAAACTGCTGCTAGTAAGTGGAACTTTTACACAGTAAGGCAATGGCTTATAGAAGCTGAATATCCGTTCCAGTTAATCCACTACCAGGTTAAGTATAAAGGTACTGTAGTCAAATATTTAACTACCACTATGAAGGTTGAGAGCTGCAGAAAACAATTATTATAATCTTTTGCCCGTCCCACCAGAAATATTTTGTATGGCTGTACTCCTGTAAGAGAAACGTATGAATCAGGGTATTGTCTAGTAACATGCCTTTCTTCAATTTTATTGCAACAATGAATTTTGATGCATTTGTTTCAATCAACTAATATGTCGAACAGTGTTGTTAAAGGCGTATTTGAGGCAGGTTTAGACCCTAAAACTAGGGGTCACATGTCAGGCACTTCATTTAGCTTAGAAGAACTTTGGTGGAGGTACTAAGAGCCCGTTTGGACATAAGAATTTTCAATTTTTTCCGAAATCAGCGCTTGTTCATAAAATTTTAAATTTTCACTTGAAGATGCATTTTGGAAATTTTCAAAAATTTGAAAAACTCCAAAAAGCTGTTTCTCAAAATTTTCGCTCAACTCACTCACAAAACTTCAAAAACAACCCAAAATTATATTCATGTCCAAACACAACTCTAGTTTTCAAATACCATTTTCACTTGAAAATAAAAAATTCACTTTTTTCCGGAATTTTACAATTCTTATGTCCAATCGCCCACTAAGTATAAGGGAGGTCCCTCTAGTTAATCAAAACAATAACATTGTACTGCACGCCAGAGAGTTGGAAAGTAAAGTGAGACTTGAAGTGACCAATCAAGTAGACATATAAATTGCTTAATAATTTTTTCCAGGAAAATCAATTGCGATTACAGTGTTGCAGAAATTTATTTCTCACCTTAAGAACGGATTACATACAACTGGAACCATCTGTCTTGGCTGAACCTAATGACGTGGTGTAAGAACTGCAAAAGCATCAAAAGAGAAAAGTAAGAATGTAAGAGAGAACAATGGCAACATCAATAACCAAAAATATGTACCAAACAGTGATGATAGAGAAGCCTGAAAACAAGCTGATGAAGAATTGCAGGCAACTGCCCGAATTTGTGCAAAGAAAACAGAAAGCAGACAAGGTGGGCCACTTGTAGCAACATTTCAAGCTCAAATGATAAAGATGTCAAGAGTAGAAATTACTAATGAGTCAGATACCCAAGAAAGCATGATAAAGAATCAATTGCTTAAACCTTCCCACACGGAAGAACAAACTCCAAATGCTACATTGTTTGTCTTACACAGCTGTGTAAGATGTTTTCTCCTTTTACTTGGGGGGGGGGGGGGGTGATTGTTTAAAATGTTCCAATCCGGGCTCGTTTATTTTACTTTTGGCAAACAGGCAAAATGGCAGACAATGAAAATAAGGAACCATGAAAAAGAAAAGAGAAGAATTTGGAATCTATGAAGGTCAAATACAGCAGCTAAAAGAAATTCAATTAATCACCAGCAAATAAACTAGGATTTCACACCAACCCAACCAATTGCTTTTAGGCTGACGGTTTTCCTTCAGTATTCGTACCCCACTCTTCGTCAGCCTCGTTTCCATTAACGAGTACTGCACCATCAGTAGAGTCAGCATCCACCACAACAGCCTCTTCTTGGCCCTCTTGTTGAATGTCATCTTCACCCGGTTCTTGCACCTCATCACCATTCTGTTCTGCAACCTGACCGGTTAAAGCAAGGGAAGCAATTACTTAACTGATTAGCTTTGACCAACAACGACAGGTTTAAGATAAAGTATAAAGAAATCGAGCTATTAAACTTTTTTTTTTTTGAAAAAGGAATGAATTATCAACTTCACATAAACCTATCTGGGTAAAAGCAAATGGCTTTTCTTATTTTATGAAAATGATCACATGTAAAGAAAACAATTCTCATAAGAAAAATTAGAAGCATGTCCATCTTATACCTCATGATCCAACTCTCCATTTTCAAGTGGTTCTTCATCCACTCTCATGTTGCTGAAAGCTTCTACGAGGTTAGTAGTTGGTCTATCAGCATAATTTCCATAATCTGCCGCTGGCGGGTATACACCCCTACATAAAACAAGGAAAGCAACCAAATTGGTGCCAAATTTTCCCAGTGAACTTTTGTCTGTTAATGTAAAAGTTTCCTTTCAACAGACCATACATATTGGAATTAGAACACATCTTTTTGAGCTCATGCTCCAAGCAAGAAAGAAAACGAACAACAAATTGAGCAAAAGGTGTGACACTTGAAAAAAACAGGGAGCTTCCATAAGCAAAAGCAGCATCAAAAAAAGCATTAATATTTTGAGAAGGCCACTGGCAGTTAGCGAAGAGAACATAACAAGATGCATGGGGAAAAGAGCAGTATATGATACCTTTCCTCCGCAACTCTAGCTTCAACAGAATGTGCAATTTGCCAGTGCTCAAACAAGTTAGGATATTCTTCAGGATCAGCCAAAGCTTCTGCAGCTTTCTGGTTAACCTGCATGCAGAAATTATGCAAAACAAGGTCAAAGATTTTGTGCTATACAGATGTTCATAATTGTCGTACAAACAGCATGAAGCCCAAACAGTAAACATGACATTTTCATTAACTACCAACATTTACCATTTTCAAACTTAAGGTCA